ATCAACTATGTTTTGTCTTAATCTCCACATAATCACAAATCTAACCAACAGATCCATGCCTGTTCGTTTTTAACTTTCTAGAATCCAAAGTTTTCTGAAACCAAATTTTTTATTTAAAATAAATACAGAGTCCTGTAACTTATACCAGTTAATAATTCTGGTAAAACAGTTTCCTCAAGTTTCTCAGATTACCAGAGCCGTTGAATTAGATCGTATGACAAGGATGAAAGCGATGCAAGAGGAAGAATGAACGGCTAGGATGGCTGAATAGAAAAACAGGAATTCCATTAATTCATTGGGTTCGTCTGTTTGGAAGTGACGATCAACTAAAATCCAACGGATGGGGACACATCACAAACGGACCACCTAATCATGTGATTTGGTGTGGTTTTAGATTGACAGTAACAACAAGATAACAATTCAAAACAACCGTACACATCGTAAGTTCCATCAAATTAAAACAGTCCACGTAGCTTCACGGGGGTGTCGCATGGGACAAAAGAGTGAAGATCACTAAGCCCTATTCTTATCCAACGGCTGGCATCAAGCCATCAAGCATAACAAGATAAGATCCGTATGTTACTGCGAACACAAGCTAGTATCCCCCCCGTAAATGATAGAAAATAATTTTGAGTTAGAATCCAGAGATTATAAATTAAATATAAATAAAAAATAAATTTTAAAAAGTATTGATTAAATCATACTCTTAATTATAAATACGATAAAGCCTCTTAAAAATTGTAAAGCTATGAATAGAGTACCACCTTTTTAATAATTATCATCAACTATTAGCTACTTTATGCCTATAAGCAATTATCATTTATGTGTTGTCTTTTATCTAAAAATCAATTAAATGTGTTCAGTCCATAGCTTGCAGACCGATTCAAGCGCGAAGTCATATGCGGCCGTTTGAGAGAGTTACTAGTCATGTGCGGCCGAGAGGTAGTTTCTTTGAATCGTTTGATGATAAGTTTTGGGAAGAAAAAAAAGTTGGTTGAGGCTAGGTGGCTTTTTTATAGGATGCCAGAGATGAGGTTTCATGGAATATTATGATTACGGGTTATGCTCAGAATAATGAGTTGGAAGAAGCACAGAGATTGTTTGAGGAGGCTCCAGTGCAAGATGTGACATCTTGAACTACAATGATCAAGGGTTATGCTCAATGTGGTGATCTAAGAGTTTGTTTGATAGGATGTCTCGGCGTGATTCCATCTCATGGGCTGCTTTGATTGCTGGTTATCATTTATGTGTTGTCTTTTATCTAAAAATCAATTGAACGTGTTCAGTCCATAGCCTGGAGATCAATCAAGCGCGAAGTCAGGTGCAGCCGGGAGGCAGTTTCTTTGAATTGTTTGATGATAGGTTTTGTGAAGAAAAAGAAGTTGGTTGAAGCTAGGTAGCTTTTTGATAGGATACTGGAGAGAGATGAGGTTTCATGGAATATTATGATTACAGGTTGTGCTTAGAATAATGAGCTGGAAGAAGCACAAAGATTGTTTAAGGAGGCTCCAATGAAGGATGTTACATCTTGGAGTACAATGATCAAGGGTTATATGCTCAACGTGGTGAAACAACTCATCCTAGGAGTTTGTTTGATAGGATGTCTCGGCGTGATTCCATCTCATGGGCTGCTTTATTAGCAACGTTTTTTTATTCAGTCATTATGAATGACCAAAAAAGAGAATTTGGTTTACTGTATTTATAGTAGGAAAGATCATGGCGAAAAAACAAAAATGAAATGGGGGAAGTATAATAGTTTGAGAGTATTTTTGTTTATATATATACACCTGCTTTTTTTTAATCTTTTATGTACTGGCCTGGAGAAAGTCAAAGACGGTCTCTGGTTGAAGTTTTGAAGTTTAGAGAAACAAAAGATACAGTGGCACTAAAGTTGCAGAACCTCGCAAAAGGAAATATCAGTTGCATAAACCGTTCTTTCTCAATTATACATGACTTGTTGGTTCTCATTTAGGGTTTGAAATTCATGCCTTTTTCTGTATGTGTGCATAAGCTTAATCAGACCCTGGTACTTTGTAATGTTTGTTCTGTGTTAATCATCTTCTTGGGTATAAATTCATGGATGATTGCCACAAGATGACATTTATGCCTATATTAGAGGTATCTTTTGGCCATTCAATATGACAATGTCCTCATTTTCCTTTCTAGATTCACAAACTTTGCATCTCATATGTTTCATCTCGATCTTGTTAACCGTAAAATGTTCTTGCATGTTCCATTCTACAATTCCGATGCTGTTCTAAGACATAAATTAGTGTTGCAAATATGTTTTGGAAATGGCCTGGACATCTCTAAATTTAATCTCTGTAGTAGGCCTTCTTAGAAGGCAAAATATTGAACTGTTTGAGCTCTCATAAGTATGTCCTTTTGCTGTCAACCCAAAATACAGTAACCGATGAGCAAAAAATTGGAGACTCCTTCTGCAGAAATTAAAGACACATGGAGTCACGCAGAGAAGAGAAATCTTGAGCTGAGGAGAGTTGGTCCAATACAGGACTTCACTTTCGTGGGCTTGCTTTGGACAAACCACAAAAGAAAAGAGTCTTAAGCCCAAATTTAAAGGGGATCTCTAATCTATATTTACCTTTAATTGAAGAACAATTATGGATCCAACCCAGAGTATAAAACTTAGCTGGATACTGAACTGGCCATGAAAATAAAGAAAAATGGTAATTAATCTGCGTATTAATTGGCATCCCTGGCTGATCAACTATGTTTTGTCTTAATCTCCACATAATCACAAATCTAACCAACAGATCCATGCCTGTTCGTTTTTAACTTTCTAGAATCCAAAGTTTTCTGAAACCAAATTTTTTATTTAAAATAAATACAGAGTCCTGTAACTTATACCAGTTAATAATTCTGGTAAAACAGTTTCCTCAAGTTTCTCAGATTACCAGAGCCGTTGAATTAGATCGTATGACAAGGATGAAAGCGATATAAGAGGAAGAATGAACGGCTAGGATGGCTGAATAGAAAAACAGGAATTCCATTAATTCATTGGGTTCGTCTGTTTGGAAGTGACGATCAACTAAAATCCAACGGATGGGGACACATCACAAACGGACCACCTAATCATGTGATGTAGTGTGGTTTTAGATTGACAGTAACAACAAGATAACAATTCAAAACAACCGTACACATCGTAAGTTCCATCAAATTAAAACAGTCCACGTAGCTTCACGGGGGTGTCGCATGGGACAAAAGAGTGAAGATCACTAAGCCCTATTCTTATCCAACGGCTGGCATCAAGCCATCAAGCATAACAAGATAAGATCCGTATGTTACTGCGAACACAAGCTAGTATCCCCCCCGTAAATGATAGAAAATAAATCCAGAGATTATAAAATAAATAAAAATAAAAAATAAATTTTAAAAAGTATTGCTTAAATCATACTCTTAATTATAAATACGATAAAGCCTCTTAAAAATTGTAAAGCTATGAATAGAAGAAACATTATTATAAAAATAAAATAAAGGAGAAAATCAATAACTTTGGCTGCTCTATCTCTATGACACAAGATTGTATTCTCCAGTTGGCAGGACCTGCGTGGGATCTCTCGTGTCAAGAGGAAGAAATTTATTATTATAAATGTTTAACCTGAAAATTTTGTTGGTATTGTGATTTTTTTTTTTTTTAAAAAAAAAGCCTACGATTATTTTTATTTATGAGGGGAAAATAACAATTTAGTCCCTGAGGTTTTGGGATAAAAAATTCAGTCTTGTAGTAACATTAAGTAATACTACACTCACAAACACTTTTCACAAATACCACGTGTCGGCTTGCAATTGATCAATTTATATGAGTCTTGTCTATCCAATAATTGGTCCTGTCTGATCAAACCAATTGCAAACTGCCACATAAGGTTAGTGAGAGATGTTTGTAAAGCTAGTATTATTGAGTAACATTTTGGTCCCTATTATCAGTATCCGACAGTCAGTATAACATTTTGATCCCTTTTGCTATTGGTTGGCACTTGCAGGGACCAAAACTTTACCAAAAAAGATCTATAATACTAAAGGGTACTTAACCCAAACCTTAGGGACGAAATTGTTATTATCCCTTTGTGAGGGCAATGGTTTGGTTTTAGAAGAGGGATAGTCAACAAAAACATGAGGGGGGTCCTCAGTGAAACATTATGAGCAACCAGGTGCAGGTGTTTTGGCTCCACACCTCTTCTGGAGTAAACTTAGCAAACAATAACAAGCTAAACTATATCCGTCACTTTTTTCCTCAGTGGGCCATTTCTAATTTTCTATAGACAATGTCCTTTGAATTTCTCAACTTTATTATTTAATCTTTTAATTAGCTTTTTAGATAACATTAATTATAAATTTAATTGTATAATTTTCAGCCTGTGAACAATTGCAACCAAGTTCAGGATGTGGGTCAGCTCCGAAACTAAATTTAGAAATATTAAATGAAGATATTTAATAATAAATGAAGGGTAATAAATAAATTAAAGCTAACTTGTAGCTTCAACCAACCTAGCTAAAATTTTGACATTAAAAGTTTCACCAAACTATCTTTATGCTTTGGGAGTCATAATTTTCCTCTTATTTTAAGCCATTATATTAAGCCTGCCTTGAGCATTACATAGTACAGTACAGTAAACAAAACGGTGAAAAGCAGTAGAGAAAGCAAAGGGGACACGAACCGTTTTAAAAATGAGAAGGCATGTAAAATATATATTTTAATGGCAGCAGGGAAGGGACCAGCAAGAGAAGGAAGGAATCTAGTAGTGCAGAAGCTTTTCTTCTTCTCTCATTTTAACATGGAAATTTGTAAGAGATAATAAAATAATGCAAAGATGGGTCTGAAAAATTTAGGGTTTTGTTTGTCTTGTTATTGGGATATATATACATATATAAAGATAACCAATTTTGTTTTTAAATATTTTTAGGGTTAAGTCAGTCTTCCACGTGCTTTTGGGGACTCTCTCCTCTCTCAGTCCACTCCCATTACTTGATAAAACTTGAATGCCATATTTTTATTTTCACTCAATTGCACTCTCTGACCATCTGTTCCCCCTTCTTTTGTTTTCTTCTTCATTTCCCCATTTCTCTCTCTCAGTCTTTGTCTATTCCTCCCACACACAGAGTAAGCAAAGCAAAACAAAGCTATCTAAAAAGCTACCATTGAATCTAGTTATGAGAAAAAGGCAACAAGGGAAAAGATTTGTTGTTTAGAATCTTTAGTTTTTTTGTTTTTAACAATGGAAGGTATCAAAGTTGTAGGGGTTGGAGGTGGAGGACGAGTTGGTGTTGGTGTTAATGTTGTTGAAGACGACATGGGAGATGGTATGCAGTGCAGTGATCATCCTTACAGAAACAATCCAGGTGGGATCTGTGCTTTTTGTCTTCAAGAAAAGCTCGGCAAGTTGGTTTCTTCATCTTTTCCGTTACCTGTTCGTGGTTCTTCTTCTTCATCTTCTTCTCCTTCTTTTAGATCTGACATTGGTGGTGTTGCCTCTTCTGTCAATGGTGGTGTTACTGCTACTTCTTCTTCAGCTTCTCTTTCACTTTCTCTCTCTGTTCGTCCCACTCCCACCTCTAAAAGTAGTCGAAATGATATTGCCAATGATCGTCATTATCATCAAGAATATTATACAAGGCGGGCCAGGATCCCTTTTCTTTTAGCAAAAAAGAAGAAGAAAATCATGGTGGCATCATCAGATCGTGCGGCGGATATTGTTTTCAAGAGAAGCAAGTCCACTGCTACTCCACGAAGAGGCCATTTCTTAGATGCTACTACTGATGATGGTGAAGATTTTAGCCCCAGAAAGCGTGGGTTTTGGTCATTTCTTTACCATTCTTCTTCTTCTTCTTCAAGGTCAAACACCACAAAGAAAATGGATAAGATCACAACATTAACATCAACTACCACAGATGGTTCTCATGTGAAGTCAAAAGAGAGATGCTTGGGATCTTCCCTTTCAAGGAAAAGTGATATTGTCATTGAGGAAGATGATAGTCCCAACAGTCAAGCAACCGCCTCAGCTTCATCTTTTGAGCGTAAAGTGTCAAGATCCAGATCTGTAGGATGTGGAAGCAGGAGTTTTTCTGGGGATTTTTTTGAAAGAATCTCTACAGGTTTTGGAGACTGCACTCTCAGAAGAGTGGAGTCTCAAAGAGAAGGTAAACAAAAGGTGAACGCCACTTCATCTCACATGAAAGAAAGGGTTAAATGTGGTGGGATTTTTGGTGGGTTTATCATGACATCTTCATCTTCTTCATCATCTTCATCATCATATTGGGTTTCATCCTCTGCAGAAGATCATGTGAATGGGAAATCAACATCTGGTGCATGCCATCTTGCTCATGGAAGAAGTAAAAGCTGGGTATGGGCTTTTGCCAGTCCCATGAGAGCTTTCAGCAAGCCCTCTTCTAAGGATGGAAAAAGAGATCATATCATCAGAGAAGCTGCAAATAAAAACACTACCCCAAATTTAGCAGCCATTCCTTCATTGTTGGCTGTGAGAAGTTAAAGATTACAAATTTGGGGTCTTGGGATATACATTATATTTGGATAATTTATATTTTATTACCTGTTTAATTCTCTGTGTTTATTAAGTTCATCATCAGTAGTACTACACTTTTTTTTTCTATTTTTCTCTTTTGTAATTGCTTTGTTCTTCTATTTGCCAATTGTGTTTCCTTTTAGATATTCGCCTGGTCTTTTTTCCACCATTATTGGTGGGTTGAGATCAGCTAAGCTTAGCTAGCATGCACTGATGGAATACTACTACCAGAATCCCAAAGTGAATCTTGCAGGGTGGCATGATGAACTGGTTGAATGTGGAAGGAGCAGATTTATTATTATGTTGACTAGTCTCATTATGTTGTTTGTGACTTGCTTGGTGGGGTTTTGTTATCAATCTGTATTCTTTAATCTTTCTAGTGTTTATTTTGTAACTTGTATCTTGGATGTTATGCCAAAGAAACGTGTTATTCTAATATTTCCTTAGAATAAATTTTTAAATTTTTTTTTTTTTTTCACTTGTGCACATGCATACACATGTTTGTTGGTGTTGGACATCTTGCAAAGAACCCAAATTCTTAGAATTACAAAAACTTCTTCACATGTTTGGTAATTTTCTTCACAAAATATGGTCCCAATTCCATTAAACAATTAACTCTTTGAATATTCTTGCACTACCCTTCTGAGTTTTCAAAAAATGCATCAATCTCTCTTTGAAGACTCGGAAAATTTTAAGGCTTGGGAGAAAAGATCTATAAAATTATATATGATAGGGACGCAAGGCAAGACTGAAGGAGAAAGTACACAAATGCTACGGGACATGGGAAAAAAAGCTGCTTCTGTTGTGGTTGTGGGCAGAGTGTAAATTGGCACAAATCATTCATTTGTGGACCCATTTATAGCTTCACTTTTTAATCCATTCCACAAGCCTAAATTTAGATTTTCCTTTTTTCGCTCCAACTCAAAGCCTTTTATTTCGCTTTAGATTCTTGAAGCATTGGGAAGGGGCAAATCTCCTTTGGACCTTTTCGAAACCAAAAAGGCTTTTGTTCCCCTAATTGAATTTCTCCTTTTGAACATATGTAAACAGTATTAGGTTATGGTTATTATCAATTAATTTAGTTTAGTTTAGTTGCTGTGAAATTACAGTTGAAATGGACAGACCAGAAATTTTAATGGCTGTTTGATTCATTTCAACCTTCTTGAGGAAATTATATGCACGTGAAGAGTCTAAGACTTGCTTTATATGCACATTCAATTAACAAAGCTTTTTTGCCTATACGGACCCTTCCTTAATGAATTTAATACTTCTTGTAGGGTTGATTGTAAACATAAATAAAAGTTCACTTTGACATCTAGGTTTCACTTTTATCGGCTATTTATTTACAACAACACTATAATCTTTGAATTGTAACTAATTAACTATCTCTGAGTGGCCGAGTGGTTCGATAAACACTTTTGATTATATTATTCAAGAGGTCATGAGTTAGATTCATTTCTCAATTGCTAATTGTTCCAGCCATTGAAGCTCTTATCCGATTGGTAGTTCCAGGGTCTCGGGAGATTAGTTAAGGTGTGCATAAGCTGGTTCGAAAACCCTCGATCATAAAAATAATAATAATAATAATAAAATTGTAACCAATTATTCTATATCATTAGACGTAGATTAGGACCCATAAGCTCCATAATTGGGAGATTATATACAAAACCATTATTGAAATGAATAGTTAAAGCCAACTTTTGATTTTCGTTTTCAATAAGATCGAGTATCCTCTCTAGATTTCTTCGGATAAAGAAAAGGAAACGATAAGAATGATGACATTTTTAACCTAATCTTTGAAAGAGTGATCAAGCATACATACAAATACAAATTAGGAGTGTAGCGTATGTTGTATTATAACTTATAATCAACATCGGAATCATTTTGGATACTTGATTTGAGACAATTGTAATGGCCCATCATGTTCAAACGCTTTAGCTTTCATTATTCATTATCGTAACAACCATGAAAGGTCCTCATTCGTGCACCTTATTTGATGTGATTAATTTCACCATATACGCCATTTAAACATCACAAATTGGTTCATTTATTTTTGTGGCTAAGCCTAACATTGGAGTCTAAATCACTTTTTAGTACCCCATTCACGTCACTCAATCTCGAAACAACCTGACATGACTTATTGTTTTCACCCAATCTTGGCTTGGCCCCGGTCATGTATTGTTGGTCCAAGAATTGACAATTTCTTTTTCCTCATCCTTTTCTTGTTGGCCGGGTCTAAATTTTCTTTCGAAATTTGTTTTAGGAGAAGAAAAGACTTTGATCAAAGTAGTTGTAGGAGACAGGACTGAAGGTGGTGATGAAATTATGTTGGTTTGTGTGGTTGAGGAATTCATCGAAAATCACAATTTGGAGTTTATAATTTCTAGTCAAAATTTTCCTTCAATATGCCAATGGTGTTTCCAATATTAGAAAAATTTTCTACTATTGTTGAAACATATGATACAGAAGGTATAAAATAAGGCACATGGTGATGGGGCTTTGTATTAGCATACAAACTGCAAAAAGACGAGAAAAAAAGCAGTTCTTCCCAACAACTTTTACTGTCAGAGGATATTGACCTGTGGTCTTTTATGATCCTTCACTTTTATACCCAAAGTTCTGGTTTTCAGCTTTCAAATCTGAGGTTTTGCAGAGGATGAAAACTGGATAATTTTGATATTCATCATGATACAACAATGCAGCTACTTATAGGAGTTAAGTGACAAAATGATGTATCTAACAAGCTTGTGACCTCAGTATGTGGTTTCAACGCATCGTCGAAGCTCCATTGCATCAAATTTTATGGTAATCCGTCACTGGGTCGACGGCCCAAAACGAAGAGGCCTCTGAAACTTGTTCGAATGTCAAGTTCAGGAAGTTATGTTGGTTTGTGTCCAGTGGCTCAGCGGTGGGTCGTGGTTCAGGAATTCATTGGATATGACAATTTCCAGTGAAGTTTCCCCATCAATTATAAACTAAACAATTAATAGATTGCGCTGAAGGTTAAAGTAAACAAACCACACTAGTTTCATAAAAAGAGTGATACAATACAACAATTCAACAAGAAGTAATAACTGTAGCAAGTGACCGCATGCTGTTTATCGATCTTTAGCTTCTATTCTAGTTGGGCCTGACTTTGTGGTTCAATAGCATTGCTCGAAGATCAGCTGCATCAATTTGGGCTAAGGAATTTTCAGGCCTATAGTAACCGGTTACAGGGTCCGGGGCCCAAGCCGTAGAGGCCCCAGCCTCTTCTTGAATCGCGGTCCTCACGTCCATTTTCTCCATCATATGACTCCTAGATCGTCCCCTAGCCGACACCACGCCATGTGGCGCCGCCGCATAACCTCTCCTGTTGATCACCACAAGCACAGTTAATTTCCCAATACATCATGCTTTCTTGTGTAAAAAGAAGATATGTAAAAAAATATTTAAATATTTGTTCACATGGTGCACAAATATTGATGGCGCTAACTTGACCTATAAGTAAAGCTAAAATTAAAGGGTCATTGGGCATGCCAAAAAGTAACAGGTTAGTGGTAAATTGATGCGTGTTGTTGCACAGTGAATTTATAAGCATTGAGGATTTACAATCAATCAATCAATCATGCTTCTGGCAATTGTTTTAATGGTTGGATAATAGTTAAAAATTCTAATTCTGGTTTTGCCGTCGATGTCAATACTTTCTCTTGATCTCCGGAGTAAACAAGAGTTACAAACTTTGTCAACTTTTGTATACGAATTAACTGCACGCGAGAATCCAAGTTTGAATTTTAAGTTGGATCTCATATTTGATCGGAACGCAAGATTCTGATAAGATTTGATCACAAGACGAATATAAACTGCTGATAATATAAGATCAGAACAAAAGCATGCGTAGTAAGAAAAGAGTGGAGGTTTCTGTACATGGAGATGGAGAGGAGCTAACAAATGAGAAGGTTTTGTAGACGAACCTGGAGATAGAGAGGGAGACACTATCAGCGACAGAAGCAACAAGAAGCTTAGCATGGAAGAGAGAACGAGCCATTTCTTATTCAGTAAGTAGCAAGCTATATATATATACTTAACACCAGAGATAATATATATTAAATATTTATTTGAATACGATATAGCTACTGCAGAAGCAAAATCTCCTTAGAACGGATGATCTGAAGAAGAAGAAGACTCCTGCAGTAGCTAGCGCCTAACTGGCCGCTCCCTTCTCGACGCTAATATATAGAGGAGAAGGAGAGAGATTAGGGTTTCTGTTTCACCTGTCGTTTATTATTATAATAATAGAAAAATGAGCATTGCGAAGAGGCGAGGCGACTAGTTGGGTTGGGTTGGGCCTTCTATGAGGATATTTTCGTCAATCAATATATAGACTTAGTAATTTACCAAAAAACCTCTTCATCAAACTTTCTTGACAACCTTGGGGTTAAACAAAGATACTGTTTTGTATTTGGACAGACTACTCTTCCTGCGACGTGACACGTGGCTTTGTTAATTTTAAAAAAAGAATAATAAAGTTGCATGACTTAGTCCCATAATTCGGCTTTAATGATTGTGGCAAACGTGTGGCACATGGATGGAGGCTAACCGGCTAGGTACTGTAAATAAAGCTCCACGTTTACAAGAGACAAAAAGCGATGTAGTATAAAATATGGGCGGGCAGGGGCACAAATCCGGCATTGATTTAGGACCGTCCATGCATTTCTGATTGGTTAGGATGATATTGGTGGGTGCAAATCAATCATGACGGCGACGTGGCGCATGTTACGCGAACCTTCTTGTAGACTTGAAACTGAGGAGTCATCTTGCTTGTGCCAGACGTCTGTTTAACATTTGTTTAGTGTGATGTGAGTCATTTGCACTAATTAACTCGCTTTAGTTTGGTGAATGTTTCTGTTAATCACCTCGAAACCTCTAATTATTTGCTTATTCTTATCCATGGAAACTATATGATTGTTGATGTATGAGAGGTAAATGATTGATAGCGTTAGAACCATGTTGGATATTTGCTTAATCTTGATAGATCAGCGATAGAATAAAACAATTATATATGAACAATAATTTAATATAAAATACAGAGAATAAAAGACGATTTTTAAAATGGTTCGACTGTTTATAATGAAAAACATTCACTATAATGTATTGAGCATATTTGCAAACTGGATTACAAAGAAAGCGTTTGGTTCAAGGAATATTGGATTGCTGAAAAGATAGATTACCTTTAAGATTATTGAAAATCTTTAGGAAAATGTGTTTGGTTAATTGGTAAGTATATTATATTAATATGTTTAGTTGGGAAGAATAAATTGGTAGGTATGTTATTTAAATTACTGAATTATCTTCTAATTAAATATTACTATTATATTTTTTTTAATATTATTATTATTTGGATTGTTATAACCCCCCTAATTTAAAAACTTAGCAAAAACAACCCCATATAAATGTTTGAAAAATCAGCAAAGCACCCCCACCAACCCAGCCACTATCGACCGCCAGAAACCGGCAACTTAACTACGCACGGAAGGCAGGAAATGGCCTCCGTGCACTGTATGGACATTTTTTACCAGAGATTTGGTCGAAAATGGCCAAACTTGACAGATCTGGCCGTCAACGGTGAGATCGATGATGGATTTGGCTGTCAACAGCTAGACCGATGGCCGTTGAACACCACTAACGTGACCGTTAACAGCCAAATTTGACTAGATCTGGCCATTTCCATCCAAATATCTGGCCGAAATGGTCATATCGGCCATTTTCGGCCTTCCCTGCGCTGTTTCGAAAGCGGCGGCGGTTGGCCGTGGCGGTGGTTACCAGCGACAGGTGACTGGGGGTGGTGGCTTGGGTGGGCTGTAATTTGTTTTGAATTCAAGGGTAATTTTGTCTAAAAAGTTAATTAATTTGGGTGAAATAGTAAAAACCATATTCATGTAATAAAATTTAAAAATAAAGGCATTATTATCCTAAAATTTTATTAATAAGGGATAGAATTGTAACAAAAAAGATAACTCTGGTGATCTTAGAATACCTAAGAAAATGGAGGTAATCAGATTACCTCAAATATTACCAATAATAACCACTATTGGTATTTGAAGATTACCGGTATCTTATATGACTTGACAACCAAACATGGTAATCAAGTAATATAAGATAACTTAATCCCAGTAATCTCTAATACCCCCAACCAAACGCCCCCACATAGCTATCTCAAGTTTTCTCTTGAGTTCTCTCTTTCTCAGCCTAACTGCTCTTCTATGTGTGTATGTTTTGTTGTCCCCTCAAAACATATTAGGATTGGGTTTATATAACACCCGCTACAAGTTTAAATTAGAAATAAACACTGAATCCTCATAACATGAACTCGATCCTCGACTTCAATTATGGAGTTTGTATCGTATAATATCTCCTTGCCAAAGTTAAAACTATATTTTTTTTTATTTGGAATTATCATTTCTGAATTTACCGCACAATATGATAACAAGAAGGGGACCATGATAGATGATAGATTTTGTGATGGAGATAATAAATATCTTTCTTATATATCAATCAAGAAAAAGAAAAAGAAAAAGGTCCTTCACCTACTTAATAGCATGTATTTGCACCTAGAAGAAAACTTGTCCCACTTGTGAAATTTCCCATATTATCTCACTCGTTACTTCAAAAACTACCATTTATATATGTTCCCTCATTTATATAAAGTTCAACCTGTTTTCAAGCCCCTTTCTCTTACAACTGGATTTTTGCTTCTGCTAGCGCCTAGCGGGAATTTGGAAATTAAACAAGCGTGATGCAGACTGCAGACAACCAGAAGAATGTATGTTGATGATTGTTTTAAACATTGAAATTCATCACTTTTTCTTGGAGAGATTTTGCATTTGCAGCTCAAAAAACAAGACAAGAAGGTAAAATGATAATGCTTAATTATTCTGGTGGTACATCCCCAAGTTGTCTACTAGTATTAGTAGATTTTCTCATTTAAGTCTTCCACAATGTCTCAGGTACATCCTGAAGCAATTGGAACGTGAAAATGCTATATGCATAAAGAAACTATTGGATGTTTGACATTAAGGTTCTTATAATATATTCTAGTATTTATGGATTAAGACTACAATTCGCAACTTCTCATCAAGTCATATATTATATTATGAGTCTGTTTATTAGAGTTGGACACAACAGGATATGAATATGAAACTTGATTTGCTTCGCCATTAATCGCAGAGGCAATTTACAGTTTACAACATAGCGCCAACAAATATACTAAAAAGACCAGAAGTCTTTGATCGCATAACGACCTTACTCATATAAAGCAGAAGTGGTGATTAAAATGTTGATTAGGATCATCCTCAAGTTCAGGGGACAGATTGGAAGCCTGCTGGAACGAGGTTTGCGATGTTGAGGAAGCCAAGAAGAGTGTTTCCAATGGACAGTAAAGGTGACAGCAACGTCCCAACTTCCGGAAGCTTCGCGCCACAGCTTTCTAAAGGCGTGTTAACCTCTAGGCTGCAGTTGGCTACTAGTGTAGAGAGCAAATATTGAAGAGGGTCCAACACTATGGAAAATATTCCCGCCCCATTGGTTTTTGCAGTCGAAACAACATTTCCTCCACATTTCAATTGCACCCCAGCATCTAAAACAATACATTATACAGCAGTTTCACCAGTTGCTTGAAATGATTATACAATTACAAGAAATGGGGCTAATTTTATATTAAAAACTAAAAAAAAAAAAAAAAAAAAGCAACTTACTTTGGAAAACTGGGGTTGCTGTGCCATTGACACCAATATTGCCATTGGCAGGGCAATAGACAGTCCCTTGAATATGAATCAAATTGAGGAGGCCGCCTATGATCCCAAGTTGGGCTTCAGCCATAGGGGCTAACGCTACAGCAACGAAGAGGGAAACGAAGAGAAATGATTTCAAGGCCATGGCTCCAAGGATAGTGATAAATTAATGAAGAAGGTTGGATTGTTTCTGACGGTGAACTGAGTTGCATGCAGAATGCTATACATTTAACCTATTTATAGGAGTCGAGAGAGGCAAGTTGCAGAAGGATTTTAAGACTTCAATACTTCATTGCTTTCAATGCCTCTCTGGTCAGAGGATATGTGAGTCCAACAAAGATAATATGCAAGTCAAGAAACCAAGACAAAATTTGAAGTTTGTCATGAAGCTCTAGCTACAGCACGCGTGCCACTCTTTGTGGGCTTCATCTACATGAAGAGCTTTGTAGCATTAGTAAGTCTTCTGTCTCTTATATGATATATGAATGAATGGTGAAGTATATTTTCACACCTATATGAAGATTTGGCGTTAACACAAAATCCTTTGAAATTTCTACTGCTACTTGCATAGATATAGTGGAGATAGTCTCAGTTTGGTCCATACATATACAGCTATAAGCCAGTTTACTAGTCTTTTGACTCTCTATTCCAAAATTCCTTTCATCCTCTGCACTTCTAACTGGGATTTGCTTCTGGTTGCGGGCAATAAGCTTGCCAGTTGCATGATGTGATAGCTTTTATTGTGCTCCATTCCTTGAACAACCAAAGATCAACTGAATTTGGTATGGTACACGATTCTTTATAATTAGCTGAAGAAAACAAATATCCTTACAAAGATATGAAAGATCGAGTTAAATGGGATTTCATTAAGTTAGCAGTTGAGAAAAGACTAGTCATATATCATAATCGGTTTTAGAAAAAAAAAAAAAAAAAACATTGTGACGAGTAGTTATATCATTTCTTCACGTTCATGGCTATAAAAGGAGACGACATTGCTTTTTTCAGAAAAGGGGTGATCTACTGTTGGTGTTCTAGCAGATAACATAGCTATAGCCTCAACAGTCAACACTATAATCTTGTCTAAATAGCTGAAAATTAAAGATGCTCAAATTTTTGTATCAAGCTTATTGTCAAACACTGAAATCGGAAATTTCGAGATTTAAAGAAAATACATTTTCCTCCAAAATCTATTGTAAAGTCGTATACTTCAGTACAGGGAATACGATTGAACTAAAACATACCCAGCAGTTTTAAGTACTTTACCCAAGCATCCACGGGACCACGGCCTCAGGCCTACTCTTTATCAAATTAACCCTTTCTAAGGAAGTAGGATGCGGCAATACTTATGGTAAGCCAACCAACATAATGCCCTTGTCCTCCTAAGAAATTCGGCTTTGATCATATGAGCTTACTGCCTCCAAGTTAATGGAGCTTTCCTTACTAATAATATAAATAAAGCCTCCAAAGTTCAACTAGATCTTTGGAGGGTTTGAAGAATTTAAGGGTTAGATTAGTATGTAACCTCAAAAAGACACCATTTCATCATAATGAGCTTTTTAAATAAACAACAATTATAAGAAAATAACAAATTGGAAGGAAACCCGGTCTTGATAACAGAGGCATTAAAATGATGTTCCATGCCCCAAGCAAACACAATACTTTTATGGGGCTTCCCTGTCCTAGTCTTACCTTGGCTGGAAACTGCCACTGCCTCTTCAACCCCCAAAAATATATGCATCACCATTATACATGTTTTACAATAACAAGCTTGTGCAAGACTTGTTCTACAACTTACCCTAATCCTACACAAATTATTGCTTTCCAAAATTGATTCACTTTGCAAAGCTACTTGTAAGTTTAGTGGTCCTTAATCTTTGCATAGAAAATAAGATTCCTAAGTGAATACTAGATGAGTTCGGGTTCACTGAATTTATTCTAGCTTACATATTCTTAAAGCTCATCCGGTACTCTTCCTAACAGCAATGCTTGAACACAGGCTCCAAATCTATATAGCTATAACAGCAAAGCCCCTCACTGCTGCTTAAACGGGAAATACAAAACTATACAATAAGACATTTGCTTGAATAAACCAAGCACAAGATGATCAATCCTGTACCTGCAACTTTTGGGACCTATATATAGGTTTCAACATTACCTGCAGATGAATCAAAAGCAACTACGCCTTCGGTAGGACCACAGCGTTTTCCATTTTCTGAAGAAATCTAGCACGACTTGTCCATAATTGACAAAAGATACAGATTTGAAAGAGGGTAAGCTATAAAATATTATATTAAGATAGCTTTTAAGCACTTCTAAATACATGCTGGCTGGAAGACCACAATTCATGCAATTAGCACAGTGGCTGCAGGTCAAAGATGTTGAGCTCTAATATAACTCTATATTTTTGGACGCACTTCATCATGAGACCATAGACATAATGAAAATGGGACAAGTCTGGCAATTGCCTTCGGAAGTTACTCAAATGTATTAGACTAATACAATGTTATCACAATACTATACTGCAGCTGCGTGGACAGACACAGAATTGTATAAAATCATATCTATTAGAGGACCCAACACCGTGAATCTAAATGCACACCTCTAGAATACGTAAGACTCCAAATTCTAATTAATGCAGTTTAATAACCACATCAAATTCAACACAGCAACAATTAGAAAGCTCGCAACATCAAACCCTAGCAAGGCAAAAGTTGTGCAGGAAGATTCGGTGGTCCAGTTTCAGGAATTACAGCAGTCGATGATGAAACCATATAGCATACCATTATCACAATTTAGAAAATCTATCAATAATAAAGTTCCATGATAACATACTAACTATAAATGTGATTTAGCAATACAAAAAATTTCATATAGTCAACTTCCAAAAAGCAGAAAATCAATCCTAAACAAATAGGAAGTCGCCGATATCTCACCACAAGAATTCTACGATTACGAAAATTCAGAAAAACACAAAAAAAAAAAAAAAAAAAACCCAGAATCAGAAACTTAATCTTCCTCCTCACCCTCATTCTCAGCAATGTTAAGTATCTGAGTTCATAAACATTACGGTCCTTGTTGGACGAAATTACCCTAAGCCAATCTCGCACGTTGTGCTTCTTCAGATACTTCTTTGTCAGTACTTAAGGTACCTACAAAAGGGCCATGACACAGCGCTTGTTCGTATCAAAAAACCAAAAATAAACTAACGAAAATACACACTTTTCTTTAAGGAACACGAGTACCTTTTGGAGAAATTGGAGTCTGAGGTGACAGTGATCTTAGTCTTCTCACGTGTGACGGTAACAGAGTCACCGAGAGCGCCGGCTTTGCCGCCAACTTTTATCGCTCTGGGGAGGAATTTTTCGAGTGAGGCGATGTCCATGATCTTATCCTCCACGGCTTTGCACAATCGATGGTGAATGTTGCTCCTTTCTTCTTTCCTTTGGCCCCAGTGGCCGCTCCGCTTCCTCCTCTGCTCATCTTAACCTACACCCTCGACTTAAACGTGGAAATCAAAACGAAAACAATAAAGTTGGATAGTCAAGCTAAAAAGAAACAAGGAGGAAGTTAAAGAGAGACCTTGAAAATGGAAGGGTTTTGGTGCGCCGAAGAAGCAGAGAGCAGAAATTAGGGTTAGGGTTTATTTGTGCAAGCGACTGCATTTAGGAGAAGAAAAATGGGCCGAGAATTTGGGCTGTAATTAATTTCGGAGTGGATCCAATTGATAGCCTTTCTGTTGTATTAATTTATAAAAAAAAAAAAAATTGAATTTTTTCTTTGAAAGTCATTCCTTTAGTATAACTTAATATTGACCACAGGATGATGGGTGGAACGATAAACACTCTTGGTGTATACAAGAAGGTTTTGATATTTTACATTATCTTTGGATATTTTCATTTCATAATAAGGAAAAATAATATAGGCACATTTGCTGAAAAAAAATCAATATTTTGAGACTGAAAAACAGCTGTAAAATGGATCTTCTCTCGTGCAGTTACAACACTGGAGAATCAGTGAAGTAAGACCGAGAATGACTAGCTACTTGAGCCATACGGCCCATATAGAAGGAGCTTCGGCAAATGGCTAGGTTCCACCCCTTAAAAAATGAAAATGGCAGCCAACATTTATATTGCAAAAGCTTTGTTCTAACATGGCCACAAACATTTGTTCAAATATGTCAAAATGAATCTATTTGGCATTACCAAGTTAAAAAAAAAAAAAAAAAAAAAAAAACAACAAAATATCACAAACATGCAATCAAACATGTTTTCTTCTCCATTAACAAAAATTGTCCCAAGTAACTGTCTTCCTTCCCACATTTCTCAACTATTACTCTCACCGTTGTACTAGTTTTCTCTTAGTGTTATTCTGACTCCTTCAAACTAGCGGGGGACAGTCGGAACCAAGGGTGTTCCAGCTTGAATCTACCCCACCAATAAGACGCCAGTGCTTCTCAACTCTCCGACTGAGAGCAATCTTCTCACCCTTGCTCGTACACACAGGAGATGTGAGTTGCAGTTTTGCTAAATCTTCTCACAGCAATAACTCTAGCACCAGTGACATGGCCCTATGTCACATTAGAATCTCTGCCTTGCAAGTTTGGAGACTTTTCCCTGCCTTTCTAGCCCTTGTACGACACCCAAAAGCCGACGCAGTAGGAAAAAATTCACCTGCAATATCACGCATCATCATATTCAGGACCTTGAATTTCGGGACATCATAATCTATTCACCAACAACAAATTATTCTCTTCTACAGCAAGAAGCATATAATTTGAAACATCTCCTGTCCTGCTCACACAGTTGGGCACTTAAAACAGATGTACTGCACAACAAACATAATAACCCACTTACTATAGATACTGGGTTTAATCAAAATTCAAAGATACAAAGATCTTGCAGCTCAGCTTCTTACCTCAAGCTCACAAAAACCCAGGGAGTGATCCAACTTCCCCAAGAACCTGACCCACCAACCTATCAGCACGCGTCAAAGTAGGGTCCATGGTTGTGCCAACACCAATGAGACCTCCAGGTACAGCAAACTGTAGCTCATTTTGTTCGCATACAGTGAACTATTCTAGAATAATTGGTGTGCACTTTAATGCCCATTCTCGTCTTTAACAACATACCAGGGCGAACCTCAATAAACTGATTAATTTTCAAAACACCCTGCAAAATAGAATCACCAATTCAACAACTTGATTTGGGACCAAACTGAGTCACCCATTATCTAAAAATAAACAACCATCCCATTGCACATCCCTACACAGAACTACTGATGATCTTTCTGAACGCTTGTACTCAGGGATTTTTTCCCTTTCTTTTCTCCAAACTAATGTACAAACCATTAAAAAATAATTAAAAAAAAAAAAAAAAAAACACCAAGGAAAGGACTTTTGAAAAATTGTATAGGGACTTTTTCTGCTTTTAGCCCTTCAGCCACAAATATTAGAGCTCATAATTAAGCATCTTCAGCACACCATAGAATGGCTCTCAAAGCTAATCATGAAAAAAACCCACCCTAAGGATACTTCCCCCAGCTACACCACCTCTTATCTCATCACCTCGAACCCGGCTTTTGACATCAATGACCGGATAACAATCATATTAGGCGGTGAGGTGAAGTTCCTCTCTGGAATGGGAATCTTTTTAACGATGTATTCACAAACAACATCGATGTTATATTTCAGCTGGGCAGAAATTGGCACCAGGGCACCATCAGCAACAGTTCCCTGGTTAAACAATGTTAAGCAACACAGTGACATAATTTTTCCTTGAAGCTAGGGAATTACACCAACAAAACATATACATTCCATATACAAGTTGAATCAAATAAGAGAGATTTGTTTGACAAGAATAGTCTAAGAAGATTTAACCTGGATAAATTTTTGAATGGCCTCATGTTGGTTAATGGCTACATTTTCCTGAATCAGATCACTTTGTTTTGAAGTTATGATATGTTAAGGCGCATGATTTCAACAGCAGCAAGGTGCTCAAAGTTTGTGGTTGGGGCAACTTTCATTGGCAGCTATGAAAGTAACGCCCCGTCCATAATTGCTGCTCCGTTAAGCATTGTGCCATGAATATCGTGACCCTATTCAAATAATAGAAAACTCACTCAACCTCATATACTGTGGGAAAAGATAAGCTCACTCAACCTTTTCCTTTTATTTCTAAAGGCTATATTAGTTTTCAAATGAAACAGTTCATTTGATAAGAAGGGTCAAATCTGTTTAAGAACTTACAAAAGACATACAGAGCAACGTAGGTATACAACTAGAAGGCCCATCCAATGAGAAAATATTGCAAATACTCCCAATTGAACAGAACCAAGACAGGATTGATCAAGACACAATGGTGATACATAAGCTCACACATATGCACACCAAAACATCATGAAATCAACATATTTTATACATCATCCAGATCCTAGTCACAATCATATATATTACTGGAAAACATCGCTTTCTACTTACTGGGCACACACAAAAGACGTGCCTCAGCAATTTCATCCTGCAGTTTTCAAACCCGGACAACACCATGGGACTGTCCTCCTTGCCACTCCCATATGCCCTACAAAAATTGCATATTAGCTTGTGGCACTACAAAAATCATTGAAAGCAAAGTTACATTATTTGCTAACAAATTTACATCAGTATATGGCACCCACTTGTAGCCCATAGGTCGAGGGCATCGATCATCTTCACATTTTATATCTTGGCGTTTGCATATCCAAGCTGATTGTAATATTACGCTCCAACTCATTTTTAAAACGAACACGTTCAGAAATAAAAGCAAAGAAAGAGGTCCTATTAGATCATTCACGCAAATAACTTGCCACAAAATTGAATATTAAATGCACATCTTCTTAATTACTTCCTAATTCCCACCTAAACTCAAATGAGGCACTGGTAAATGAAGTCTTTACAATTCAAAATAACTTATGTGGACATGTAGATAAATCCCTGAGCGTTCAACTAAGAAGAATTTGTAATTCATACTAGGAAGGAAAATTTTCTATCTCCAAGGAAAACCACTTGATCTTTATCAGAAAACTTTGCAATTGGGGCTTCAACTCACATAAAGTTCCCTTTTTGTCAATTCAAAAGTAAGGAGGGTGTCTTTTTATTTAATGATTGCTCTTCAAAATCATTAGCCTTCCCTAGTGTCGAAAATTCAAATAATCTATCTTTGAGACACTTTCTGCAAAACAGACCAAAGAGTATCACTATTTTCAAATGCCTACTTAAGAGAGGAGCTTCCCTTCTCTGATAAAAGGAAGTTACTGAAGACATCCAATCACAACTGGTATTTTTTACATAGCCCAAAGACACTGTATAGATCCATGTTTTCTTCTTCTTCCCAATTGTGCGATTATTTTCATTTGACATCTCATAAAACTAAATAAGTAAATAAGCATCAATAGGATATAGCCATTCGAATAGAGGAAGACCTATCAGAATTATTACTAAATCAATGATCACTGTTGGGAGAAAAAAATCAAATATCGACATGCTTCCAAGAGAGTTATCAGCTTAGCAGCAAAAACAGAAAGCAATTAGTCACCTGAACACCAGATATTGCCTTCACAACAGTTGATTTTCCATGTGCCACATGACCAATAGTGCCTGGAACTAAATCAACCATATATCATCAATTTCAATTTTCAACCCTTAATTAAAATCCAAAAGGGATTAACAGTTCAGAATTTCTAAGCCTAACAATGTAAAAATCCATCATAGAACTATTTTGTTGAGTAGTAAACGTGAAAGACAGCCTATACATCTCATGGGAAGAAAGAACGTACCAATATTTATAGTTGCCTGCCTAGAGATGACTTCAGGAGAAAGTGGATGCAACTTTGTTACATCCAGTTTACTCAAGTCTTGCTCCATTAAACCTTTTCTCGACACTTGGCTGTTCCACGAAGAGTTCCTCTTCAAAACTTTTTTGGCAACGGGCGATGTTAAACACTCACAAGCTGAAAGGCCTAAAACTGCATCAATCAAAACTACCACTATAAATTTTATTCACTTTATCTAGTATCAGTAGATTATTATTACACTAGAAAATTTTTCCTGCATGATTAGCATATGCATAATACTATACCAGTTACCCAAATAAATTTTAATGGGACTCAAAAATCCCAATATATTCACAGAAACCCTAATCCAACACAAGTTAATAGCCAATAACTTAAAAGAGGCACAACAAACCCTAAATTTTTTTTTTTTTTTTTGTGTGCGAAAAAAAAAAGATTCCTTAACAAAATCACATGCCATTAAATTCGAACTAAAACATGAAAAAATACGCAATCACAGTCAATAAAAATTATCACCTGCAAGAATTGAATCTTTTTCCGCGAGATTAAGATCAGAAGAACGAATGGAGACTGATTGAGTGTAACAAGCCGACGAGATGTTTTGTCTGAGGTTTAGTGCAGTGTTGAGAATGGGTTGAGCGAGAAGTAGGTTATAGATTTTGAGAATTTTCTTTGAGAGTACGCGAGGTAGTTTAGTATTTTCATTCGAAAAAGAGCCAATTGGGTTGGTCTATCTGTGGCATTTACCCAATAACCTTTAAACCACGGGAAGAAATCTGGGCTGGCTAAAATGAGATCTTTTAGATTTTAAATTTTAAATATATTATAATAGGAATTATCAATAAGTAATACTACACTTACAATCAACCTTAAATTTTCTTTCATAATCCAATATATTAATTATAATTGTCAGCTGCATGTGTCCTTTGCTCCTAAGGTCCACCTATCAATTACAGTTGTATGTCAGGATTGTGAAGAAATTACAACTCAATCCACAAACTTCTCTCACAACCCCGAGTGAAGTTTAATTAGTCACTCCAAATAGTACGCTCGCCTATTGAGCCTAATTTAGTTGCCATGTTAGGTTGTAAAAAAAAGTTTATAAATTCGTTGTGAGCTAATCTTATTATTATCACTAAGGATAACGACACAATAATACACATACAAGACTTATACAAGATATGCATAAGATGGTGGCAACTATACAAAATATGCATATAAGTGGTGTGGCATTAATTAAGTAGAATAAATATAATATTACTTTCTTATTTACTTTCCGTTCATTTTTTACATATTCTTGATATCTAAATCATTATAAGATATCTTTATATGAATAGTAATCCGGTATTTTCCCACACTAAAAAGGGTTTCCATTTATGCAAACATATTGTGTGAGATGTGTTTATTTGTATTTTTTATGCATTTTTTTTATTTATTGTCCATGAATATTTGTATTCATTAACAGTGAACTGACGCTCAAAACAATT